AAGGGCGTTTTTTTCCAACGAACCAAGTTGCAGTGTCTAGCGGACACGCGAGCCTCGATGAAGCAATAATCGACTAGAACTGTAAATATTCTCAATCTTAATGGGGGAGAGTGTAATGGGGTTACGCGTAGGCTGGTAACAGAGGGGGTAACACGAGATGGGCATGGTGTGACTGCACCCAAACAAGAATACAGCATGTGGTCCGGTAGCCTTACTTTATATATTTAGGAAAATCTATACATTTTAAATTAGGCGGCTTTGCCACAGATATTGATAAATAAAATTCAGTTTTGGATCTTAAACAAACAGTTAATTAGCGATGGGTGAGTGCAATAATTACTTTTGGAGTAAGCGGATTGCGATCCGCCAAACTCGTTCTTGTTCTAAGTATAGAACGAAAGGTCGGTGACCTAAGTAACGCTTTTTCAAAGCGCAAAGCTAAGGCAGCCCCGCTGCAACATGGGACTGACCAAATTGATAGCTATTGCAATGCTTGGTGTCATGAGGAGATCTCAAAAAGCAAAAACGGCAGTGGGCCACGATCTCAGGACGATACATGAATGAGTGACTGTATGATGTGCTCATACATCATACAGTCATTCATTCATCTATCTCTGATATGACGAAAGTGGACAAATGTGAGCTGGTATCACCTGGTGGAGTTGAATGATACAATAAGTCAGGCCAAACCTTGAAAGAGTATGTATCATCTTTGTCGCAATGTGACAGTTTTACTGAGTCACCTCAACCGTGTGATGGGCCAGCCGTGTGGGGTAGAAAAGTGATCAGGTGAGTGAAAAAAATATTTTCTACTCGTGAATTGAGAAATTGAGGGCTGCGAGTCCAACCCACTACCTCCGGCGCAAAACTTCCAAAGGGAAAGAAGAATGATCCTACGGGGACATGTGCAAGAAATTGCAAGATGGTAATGTCACCAAAACGGTGCATTTTATACTCGAGAGCTGAACTCTTCATTCATCAAAAATGAATCTGTCGTTACTAGGTCGACTTCTGAAACAAAAAAGTGCGCCATGCATCAATGATCCACATAGTTGAAGTAATTTGACGTCATAAAGGTGCTATTTTGCACAAAGCAGAAAGCGGGGTCGGGGAAAAGAAGTTGTCTGCTCACTCGGCGCCAGCTTCCTTTGGTAGAACGGTTAACAACGAGTAGCATATTATACTCACTACAATAATCAAATTGCAGTCGCTCTTGTAAAGTTTGACTCCTAGAAAGAATGTGCTGCCAAAATGCATGTCGGTTGCACTTTGCAAGTCTCCTTGACCTTGTTGACGAAAAGAATCCTCTTTGAATGAACAATACCGATATTTTATTAAATTGATGGGAACTCCAAGCGGGATGCCCTGTGAGTGGCACAAAGGACTGTTTAAAGCATTAACGACATTTAATTGTCTGGTGAACTGCATATTTCACATCGTGGCTATGCACATTTTAACTTTGACGATACATATATTCAATGCCGTGCAATTTACGGTAATTTGGATGTGGAGAGCCATATTAAACAGCTGTGAGCGTATCTCGAGTGTTTGCATTATAAAATGGTGTTTTCAATACAGACACATGCGACCAAATATTCTTTCTGAAAATTAGAAGGCACGGTCAGCTGGCAGACTCCTCGAAAGCTAAAAAATCTTTAGAATGATCCGTGCTACCAACCCAAATGTACTTGCACGAATATGGTTTAAATTAACCCGATATGGCGCGATCCCTTTTTAAGAGGTGCAAAGGTGCCGTAGGGGAGCTTTCTTTAAGGCTGTGAGGAAAGCCTCTTGCACGCCCTGATTCTGGCTGTCTTAAATTTAATTGTCCATTCCATGACATTTGTGTTGCTTCAGCCATTTCAATAACTGTGCGCAACTCTATACGGCTATCTATGTCATAAACGTCTAGTTGCGCTCGAGTGTTGCCGGTTAAAGCGGCAAAAAGGAACTATCCAGCTTATGAGCTGGAGCTACTTGCATTGAAGTATGTATGAAGAGATCAAATGCACCAGCTTAGTTTGTAACTATGTGAGCTTTACAGATAATGCGGCGATACACACAGCGACGTCCTCTCACCACATCTGTCAAAGAGATCGGCAAGATGATTACTGTCTTTTATCAAGAATACTTTTGAGTATGAACTGTAGCATTGTACAATGGTGACGTCGCCAATAGACGAGGCGATAGATACAGTGTATGGGTTAGACGCAAGTGTTTTTAATTCTATGAAGCTTTAATAAATAGAAGATTAAGAGCTCAGATACCGCTTTAATAGGGCACGCGGTCTCATGCCTGCATCGTTATGCCTTATCCCAAGTCATATTGTACTTCATCACTGACCCACATTACACTCAACGTGTGGTGTACTTCATTACAAGAAGCTCAAGTACGATATACTAAACAAGGTCATTGTTTGGGGGCCACATCGGAAGAAAGCGTACTGCTCAGTAAACGCTGTTTGTTGACGAAGACGTAAGCGCGCATGTGTGAAACATGGCAATGGATTAATCCATCGTCGCATTGGTCGAAGTCTCTCACCAGCCTTTTGGCTCCAGCATTATAGCGTTATAACCGTAGTTTCGGTCTTTCAAAGATGCGCATGTTCTTTCCAAATACGTTACTTTGGTCTTTATGTCGGATCGAGACCCGCGTATTTCAGCACAGTTCTAACGAGCTTTGCGCAGAGTGAAAGGCACCAGATTATACCACTTCACGGTTGACTAATCATGGACAGAACGTGTAATGGGGTCAGTCCCATCACATACTTATGTGAGTGGATAAATTTAATCGTATATTCTGCATAGTTGTATATCCCTCAATTCTGTTATATCAGGATAGTGTGGACTTTACAGGCGGTGCTCGACCTCAGATCATTAGAGAGAAAGATTCGCTTCTACACACTCGCAATGTGAGTGTGTGGTGAAGCTGCGAGCATTAATGGGGGATCACGCGGTCTTTGACATGCTCCATTCGAATCCAAAAGCGATATCTTAACGCTTAGCAAATTTCGCTGCGTATGAACCAGGGTAATTAAGATTTTAATGTCAGAATGTACCGATGCCAGTTTCGTCTCCTGGTGGAAACACATGGAATGTACCTTGAAAAAAAGTGAAAAGCTTTCACGGGAACAAAGATAAAAATCTTGCGTTTTGCAGCGAGAAATGGACATCGCAATCGTGATGGCTCACATTCGTAATGACCACGGTCTTCTGACCTTCGTCATGTCGCATTTGGGGGCATATCTCCCTCATAAATTCTGTCTGTTGGGCCCAACGAGCATTTCCTTCGTTTTCAAGCGGCCAGTTCCGGGCACTATTTGATTTGTCGACAAACTTCCTGATGACCACAAGTGGTCACTCCATTCGATTTCATTCTTCCCTAACCTGGGGAATGTCAATTGCATGGCATAAACCACTGAAGTGTGAAGCATTACTAGCGGAATATGGCTGCCGAGCACATTATCTTATTCTGGTGCATAATGAAAGTGGGTTCATTACTCTCAAGGGTGTCACCTACACCAGGAGAGCTACTCCCAATCTCATTTGATCCGCATCTGATGCTTCTCAAGCCAGGATATGCCTAAAATCAAGACATACCGCTTTTCGATCTCGAAGACTGTGAATACTTCCTTTGAGTTGAAGTCTTCAAACTTCAGCTGAACTTTTTTTCACGGCGACCATCGGACCAGTGGCCAACTTCACTAAGATAAAGCCATTGCTTCGATCTAGTGCATCCAACAGCGCAAAATCATTTTCAGCAACACTTTGCTTCCGGGCGCTGTTACGCAATGCGCCAGAGTCAATCAATACTCTTAACGGACGTCCGTGGTCACAGGAGTGTGAAGGGCTACGAGGGCACCACTTCGACTCGTGTCGTAAACGAAGAACAACGATTCTTCTAGGAGCTAAACCCTCCTGAGTAGTTCTACCACCACACTCAGAAAAGTTTATAATTGCCCCAGTAGACAGCCCTGCGTCTATTGGGTACCGGATTTTTTTCGAACGCCTCGTGTTATTGGTACCACGTGGCCCGGAACCACTACGACGAGAGCCGTATTGAGAGATTCGTTTACACGTGGACAATCACGGCGAATGTGACGAAATTGTTGACAACCATAATAATGCTGCCAACGGGCAGTCACCGCACTGAGATCTCTTGATTCTGGATTTCCAGGAGTATCAGTCACTTCTTTCATTGGATTAATCGAATGACCGTGCGCTTTACATTGACAGTAGTCATCACGCAATGCAATGTAATTGCATCTTCCAGAGTCGTTGGACTTTGGCGGAAGACTTCAGTATCAGGAGACCTACAAGTGAGTCCCTCCATAAACGCAGCAGCCACCACTGCCTCTGACGGTGGTTTGCTTGCCATACAGGCACGAAGCTCACGGGGCTTCTGTACATAGTCGTACAATGCACTGTTGTCTTGACGGCATGACAAAAACTTCGACCGTTTTTCGAAATTCCACATTCTGCAAAATGATCATCGATTCCATGGTCCTCTTCAACAGCCGAGGCGGTTGACTTCTCATGTCACCGATCAATCCTTTCTATGACCATAGAGAAGAATGTTGTCGAATTTGTGTAATTAATAGTAGAAGGAATCGACTGTGGCTATACATGCCAATAATCCTACTAATACACTGATTGAGTCGGATTGTGGGTCAGTGGTATAACTGGTCACGAAGGTGATGCACCCACCCGTTGTGGGGTTGAACACACACATGTGAAGATATTGACTGGATTTGCT